AGCATCGTCACTCCCCTCAATGTCGTCATATGGGTCGTTATTAACACAGTCCTCATCGTCATCGATATCCACATCAACTTCAACAGCCGCAGCATCACCACCGTCATCACCATCAGCATCGCCATCATCGCCATCATCAACATCAACATCCTCACCATCAGCCTCAGCAGAATCAGCTGATCATCAACATCATCACCATCATCAGCAGCAGCATCATCATCATAAGCAGGAGCAGCATCACAATCACTTTCATGATCATCACCAGAATGAGCATCATCATCATCATCATCATCATCATCATCAGGAGCAGCATCATCAGCAGCAGCATAACCAGCATCACCAATATCATCAGCATCAGCAGCATCAGCATCAGCATCATCAGCAGCAGCATCATCATCAGCGTCATCATCAGCATCATCATCAGCATCATCATCCGCCCACCCACCCACCCACACATCCACACACTCACACACACACACACACACCGCCACCCACCCACACCCACACCCCCACACCCCCCCCCCACACACACACAGCCACACACACACACACACACATCATCCCCCTCCCTGGCTCATACTTTATGGCCGCCCCCTCCTCCTCCACCTCCTCCTCATTCCCCTCCTCTGGGCCATCATAACACGAGGCTGTGAGCCGTAAGCCTTGCGTATACGAAAAAATGTGTGAACGCATGTGCTCTCATGGTGGCCAAAGTCTTGGGCAAGAAGCGCAGGCTCGCTGGATCTGGAAGATTCCGTGCACAAGTGGTGCAGTGGCAGGCCGAGGTCCTGGGCCCCTGGGGGGGGGGCTGGCCAGCGCCTCAAACTCCCTCGCCTCCAGGACCATGACAACGGCGAATACGGATGTCTTGCCCGTGCTTCCGCCCGCCAAAGCCGTGGCCTCTGACATGCGTCAGTCCCCCACTCCCCCTACTCCTCCTGCTGGCCACCTGCGGACTTGGTCGACTGCCTCAAGCATGTCGTTCGTGGAAACAGCCCAGCATCGGAAAACCCCGAGCCTCGTGAGCTCGCTGGGTACCACCCACGGGTCCGCGAGCTCGTGGGCGACCCGCTGGACTTCGCGAGTATGATCCTAAGATTTTCGACCAGCGAACAGTGAGTGATTACTTACTCAGAGAACGGTAACCATACCACCGGGCAGCCAAGCTGTCGCTCCCGTGCCCCTCGGTCTTCGAATCGCCAGGGGCGAGAGCCCGCTGGAAGCGGGTAACGGAGCAGAGGCCCCCTTCGGAAAAGACGGCGCATCAGAAAACGCTGGACCCTATCAAGCAATTCTTTGCGCCATCGCGGTGCAGCTTGCAAAATAGACACGGCTGACTGATCTCACGGCGGGTACGATCCAGTCCCCCTCCTCAAACACGACCTCCTCATCAGCATTGCCCTTTTCACCGTCCTTCTTGTCCCCCTCCTCGTCGTCCGCATCATCAGTGCCGTCAGTATCATCATCCATCCACGCCAAATAATGACCCTCCTCATCTGCCTCATCCTCAAGTTCCACCTCGATATCAGCATCATCGTCATCATCATCACCACGACCTCCACCACAAACATCAGAATCATCATCATAATGATCATCATCATCAGCAGCAGCAGCATCATCATCACCATCAGCATCATCAGCATCATCATCAGCATCAGCAACATCATCATCATCATCATCATCATCAGCAGCAGCAGCATCATCATCCTCATCATCATCATCAGCAGCAGTATCATCAACATCATCATCATCATCATCATCATCATCATCATCATCATCATCATCATCATCATCATCATCATCATCATCATCATCACCAGCATCCTTATCATCATCAACATCATAATCGTCAGCATCGTCATCATCAGCATCAGGATCATCATCATCATCATCATAATCAACCGTACCGTCACCAACATCATCATCACCACCATCATCATCATCATCATCAGCATCAGCACCATATCATCGTCACCATCAAGAGCAGCAGCAGCATCATCCTCATCATCCTCATCCTCATCGACAGTGTCATCAGTACCATCAGCATCACCATCAATACCATCAGCATCATCGTCCCCAGCATCACCATCAGCATTACCATCATCAGCATCATCAGCATCAGCACCATCGTCATCATCATCATCATCAGTAGCAGCATCATCAGCAGCATCATCAGAATCATCATCAGAATCATCATCATCATCATCATCATAATCGGCATCATCGACAACATCATCATCATCATCATCATCATCATCATCATCATCATCATCATCATCATCGTAAGCGTCGTCATCATCAGCAACACCAGCATCATCAGCATCGTCATCATCATCATCATCAGCAGCATCATCGGCATCATCAGCATCACGAGCATCAGCATCAGCATCATCATCAGCATCATCAGAAAGATCACCAGCATCATCACCATCATCATCATCATCCTCAGCATCATCATCATCAGCATCATCGTCGACATCTTCATCATCAGCACCATCATGCAGATTGTCGTTTTGAGGATCAACCCGGACCATCAGCATCATCATCATCATCATCAGCAGCAGCAGCAGCATCATCATCATAGCCGCTGTCATCATGAGCATCATCATCCCCATCCTCCCCCTCCTCGTCCTAAACACCTTCCCTCCTCGTCCTCATCCGTCTGACTCTCTCTCCATCTTCCTGCCCATCCGCCCCACACGACGACGATGACAATGACGATGACGATGCCGATGACGACGACAACGACGACGACGACGACGATGTCGACGACGAAGACGACAACGACGACGACGAAGACTGCGGCGAAGACGAGTTGCGCTCCTGTTTTATACGCCCCTGCTGCAAGTGCTCGAACAGGTCCATGCCTGGCCCCGACCCACCAGAACCGAGACGCCCCCGGACCCTCCTCCCCATCCCCGACACCCTTCCCACCACCCACTCACTCCACTCCACTCCACTCACCCACTCCACTCCGAGACGCCCCCCCACCCTCCCCAATCCCTCCGCTCCACTCACCACCCCTCCGCCCATCCCCGACACCCTTCCCCTCCCCTCCTACACGCATCCTCCCCCTCCCCCTCCCCCTGCGCCCTCTCCCTCCTCCCATGATTATTGTTATTCCTAGTGTGTTGTACTCGTCTTCTGCAGGTGCGCAATGGCACACGCGCAGACGCTTGTGTTGTATTGTATTGTGATTACTCCTCCTCCTTCTCCTCCTTCTTCTCCTCCTCCTCATTCTCTTCCTCCACCACCTCATACGCATCATCATCAGCATCATCATCAGCAGCAGCATCATCATCAGGATCATCATCATCATCATCATCATCATCATCATCATCATCATCATCATCATCATCATCATCATCATCATCATCATCATCATCATCATCATCATCGTCATCGTCATCGTCATCGTCATTGTCATCGTCATCATCAGCAGCAGCATCAGCATCATCAGCATCATCAGCATCATCATCAGCATCATCATAAAAATCGTCATCAGATTCGTCCTCTTCATCAGCATCGTCTTCTTCTTCATCCGCATCATCATCATCATCATCATCATCATCATCATCATCATCATCATCATCATCATCATCATCATCATCATCATCATCATCATCATCATCATCATCATCATCATCGTTATCAGCATCATCAGCATCAGCATCATCACCATCACCACCGCCATCATCATCATCATCATCAGCATCATCATCATCATCATCATCGTCATCGTCATCGTCACCATCAGCATTACCATCATCATCATCAGAAGCAGCGGCAGCAACATGAGCATCAGTATCAGTAGCATCAGCATGATCAGCAGAATCAGCATCAGCATCATCATCACCATCATCATCATCATCATCATCATCATCATCATCATCATCATCATCATGATCACCATCATCATCATCATCAGCATCATCATCCTCATCCTCATCCTTCTCCTACCCCCCCTCCCTCTCCTCCCCCTCCTCCCCCTCCTTATCCTCATCCTAATCCTCATCTGCATCCTCATCATTGTCCTCATCCTCATCATCAACATCATCATCCTCATCATCATCATCATGTAGGCGTGTGTTATTTTGGTGCTCGACATTTTGCCGAAGGGTGGGGGAGGGGGGTGTCTGGGTCTGGGCTGGCTTATAAACGATCTGCTTCTAACACTCGCGCAAGCAACTGGGGGTGGCGGTCCTGACCAGTCGCCCAAAGCAGTCACACAAGGGAACCAAAATCTGGTCTATTGGGACGGGAAGGGGGGTGGCGGGGGCCCGCGCCGAGAAGCGAAATAATACATCAAAATACCATTATCATCACCATCACCATCACCATCACCATCACCACCACCATCATCATCATCATCATCATCATCATCATCAGCATCATCATCATCATCATCATCATCATCATCATCATCATCATTGTCGTCATCGTCATCATCACCATCATCATCATCATGGTCATCATCATCACCACCATCCTGTTGATCCTCCTCTGCCGTCAATGCTTGATTCCAGCGTTAGTCGTAAATGGTAATTGGAACCAGCGGCCGCTAGTGCTGCGTAGCGCGACAACATCCTCTCCTCTGAGTTACCTTTTTTCTCGTCTCTGATGCCCCCCGTGTTTCAATCCCTTCCTCCCGTCCTGCCATACCGCGTGTCCTCCCCTTTCACCCCCATCCCCGTCCCTCGCCTCACCCCCACCCGCATTCCCAGCCGTTTCCTTCCGCCCCCACCCGACACTCCCCCCCACCCTACCTTCCTCCATATGATCCTCCCCGTCCTGTACAACATCCCTTATTGTTCCGCCCTTCCATCCCGCCCTCCTCCCCCTCCCCATGATCAAAATTACCGTCATCAACGTCATCATGGTCACCGTCATCATGATCGACAGTAGCGCAACCAACACGATCATCGACTTCAACATCGCCAACGCAAACGTAATCTGCATTCAGATCGGCATGTTCAGAATTTTCAGCGGCGTCCCCTCCTCAGCGATCCTCGTTGTCGTTATCACCACAAGCATTACCAACTTCATCGTCATCGTTGCATATCCGTCAACCCATATGCCCCACATCGTCTCACATCGTCCCAGATCGTGGCAAATTCCCCCTTACATACATAATTCCCACATCGTTTCTCGCTGGTGTGCAGAAGGCACGCTTGACGAACCACCCACGGCAATTTGCTTACAAGTGTCAGGCTCGCGCGAACATAGCACGACGCAGTAGCGCTGCCGGCGGGGGCCGAAGCGGCACTGCCAATACACTGCCCGAGTAAAAGTCAAAACGCACTGCGGCAGCCGCGCCGAGCACCACCCATGGGCAACACACATGGGTCTGTTATAGATTCACGCACCGATAAGTGGGAAAAAAATCGAGATCGAGAACTGCAGAAAATTATCCTGGCGAAGGACCCAACCATATGCAAACGTGAATACCGCAGGGCAGGTGGGACGAAGCAAAAGGAATTCCCAATATGGCCACGAACCGTGTGAGGGGTGCGCCACGCTGGGGCGGGGCCGCCATGCGAACCCTGCCACTGAGGCCTTCGGTGGAGCTCCCTATGTCCCTACGGGGCCACGAACCGTGTGAGGGGTGCGCCAATATGGGGCGGGGCCGCCATGCGAACCCTGCCACTGGGGCCTTCGGTGGAGCTCCCTATGGGGCCACGAACCGTGTGAGGGGTGCGCCAAAATGGGGCGGGGCCGCCATGCGAACCCTGCCACTGGGGCCTTCGGTGGAGCTCCCTATGGGGCCACGAACCGTGTGAGGGGTGCGCCAAAATGGGCGGGGCCGCCATGCGAACCCTGCCACTGGGGCCTTCGGTGGAGCTCCCTATGGGGCCACGAACCGTGTGAGGGGTGCGCCAAAATGAGGCGGGGCCGCCATGCGAACCCTGCCACTGGGGCCTTCGGTGGAGCTCCCTATGGGGCCACGAACCGTGTGAGGGGTGCGCCAAAATGGGCGGGGCCGCCATGCGAACCCTGCCACTGGGGCCTTCGGTGGAGCTCCCTATGGGGCCACGAACTGTGTGAGGGGTGCGCCAAAATGGGGCGGGGCCGCCATGCGAACCCTGCCACTGGGGGCTTCGGTGGAGCTCCCTATGGGGCCACGAACCGTGTGATGGGTGTGCCGAAATAGAAGCATGCGGAGGGTGATGGTGATGATGACGACCATGTTGGTGCTGATGATGATGACGATGACGGTGATGATGATGGTGGGTGATGACGATGATGCTGATGATGATGAGACGAGGAGGGAAGAGGCAGCGGGAGGAGGAGGAAGGAGGAAGGAACACGGGGCACCGTCTCTTCAAAACGAGGACCCAACACCACAGGATGGTTGGGAAAAACTCTTCGAACAAAGATGGCAACTGGGCGGGCGAGCGCAGTGGGGCCACGCGCGGGAGCGATCGGTGGTAGCAAGATCCCCACAGACACCCATGACTCCCACATCGCCCCCTAATGTTTTGTCATTGCTTGCAGGAGACGCGATGTTCAAACAAGACATCGCCAATTCTGCACACATGCTGGGCTCGGCAAGACGGGCAAGATCAGCACGCGCCTCAGCCGCGCAGCTGGCGGACGCCGACAGGGCCCCGCCAACAACAAAGACAAAGCCAAAACACCTTTTTCGAGCCAGTCAAACAGCGGCAACCGCGCCGAGCACCAAACATAACTCCGCCGTTGATTTTATTCACGGAAAACTGAAAAGCACTGAACCTCCGAATGTCTGTCGAAGACGGCATTCCGGCGAGCGCGCTACGATGGGCCGTTCTCGGGACCAAGCGGAGCTGGCACGATTCCCATTACACCCATAATTCCCGCGTCGTTCCCCGATGGTTTGACACGCGCTGGGGGGGAACGATTGAAAGAAAAAACATGCGCAGCAAACTGTTCACATTTGCTAGGATCGGCAATAGGGGCGCCAGCAACACACGTCGCAGTGGAGCCGCCGCCTGGGGGGCGGGACCCCGCAGACACACACACACACACACACACACACAAAAAAAAAACATATATATATATATAAGAAAAAAGGAGAGGAAAAAAAAAAAAAAAAAAAAAAAAAAAAAAAAATCGTGTCGGCGTTTGGGCAGAGGGCGACTGCTCCGGCGATCCGGCATCAGGGGGCGCACTGCATGCGCCGCGATGCACGACGGAAGGGGAGGAGGCCCCAGCGCGACGGGGAGAGAGAACGCCGGGCCCGCCCACGCACACACACACACACATACACACATACGCGCACGCACGCACGCACGCACGCACGCACGCGCAAACACTTTTCTGCGTCGGCGGCTAGGCACAGCGACTGCGCTGGTGAGCGTTTATGTATTCTGGGTTTCGTCATTTGGCGCAAAGGGGGGAGGGGGGGGGGTCCGGCTCTCGTCCCGTAGTCAATACCTCCGATTGAATCATCTTGAAATGTTCAACATAGCTTTAAATTCAATATTTGAGCCTATGGGGGAATCCGATGGGGGAAGCCTATGGGGGAATCCGATTGGGGAGGCCAATGGGGGAATCCGATGGGGGAATCCTACGGGCGAGACCTATGAGGGAATCCGATGGGGGAAGCCCATGGGGGAAGCCTATGGGGGAATCCTGTGGGAGATGCCGATGAGGGAATCCTATGGGGGACCCCCCATGGGGGAATCGCGCAGAGGCTGCGCGGGGCTGCGCCAAGGCTATGCGTGATTGTGCGGGGCTGTGCCAGGATTACTATGGATCACATATTCATGATTCCACAAGGCCGTCGGTGGCATAACAGGGGAGGGCCCAACCGGAGGCATGCTTTTTGGCGATCGGGTCCGGCGCCCCTGAGCCCTTTCGTTATGGTTCCAGAAGAATAGCAGGAAAAAGTTCGCACAGTTGCACACATCAACGATTCGAGTTTCTACGGGGGGGGGGGGGGCGCCGGCCCCCGTAGTTCGTCCGATCGACTGAAGCAGGTGCCAAAATCAGCCCATAACTTCTCTACGGGGGGGGGGGGGGCGGGGGGTTCCGCCGAAAGCAAAAAAAAAAAAAAAGAACGATCACCTGGCGGATGGAGCACACGCAAGGCATACGAGTGCTGATTCAGCCGCAACGCACGTGAAGAACAGACAGAAAGCCAGGCGCGGGCAGGGGGGAGACAGAGGCCGGGCCGCTCAGAGCGGGGCCAGGCGGCGGCGGGGCAGCGCTGGGGCGGCGGGGCGGCGGCCGCGGGGCAACCGGGGAGGGCAGCAGCCAGAGGCAGCCGCGCGAGGCGGCGGGGCAACAGGCCCAGACAAAGCTGGGGATGGGCAGCACAGCGAGGCGGCCGGGCGCCGAGCTCGAGCCGACCTTGCAGGCGACAGAGCAACCAGAGAAGACCACCTCAGGAGAGGGGCCGGGGGGCAGCTGGAAGGGCCCAGCAGGCGGAGCAAGAGGAAGCGCCGAGGTCCATGGGCCTGCGGGGCGCAGGAGGACGGGCGGCCCGCGCACCTGGGTTGGGGACCGCGGTGGGCGGAGCAGCGGGCAAGCAGGCCCACCGGCTAAGCCGGCACATTCCCACTGTCCCCACACCACTGTCCCAACCACCACCGTGCCCACCACTGTCCCAGTCCCCACCACTGTCCCACTGACCCCACTGTTCCCACCCTTGTCCCCGCTGTCCCCACCAGTGCCCCCACCAGTGTCTCACTGTCCCCACTCTCCCCACCATTGTCCCACCACACTGTCCCACTGTCCCCACTGTTCCCACCACTGTCCCACTGTCCCCAGTCCCCGCCGCTGTCCCACTGTGCTGTCCTGCTGTCCCCACTGTCCCCACCACTGTCTCACTGTCCACACTGTCCTCACCACTCTCCCCACTGTACCACTGTCCCACCACCGTCCTCAACACCGCCCGCCTTCACTACTGTCCCCACCACTACCGTCCCCACCACTGTCCCACTGTCCCCACCACTGTCCCGCTGTCCCCTCACCACTGTCCCCACCACCACCGTCCCCACCACTGTCCGCACCACTGTCCCACTGTCCCCCCACCATTGTCCCCACCACCACCGTTCCCACCACTGTCCCAGTATCCCCACCACTGTTCAACTGTCCCGAAGAGCGGGAATCGTTTGCCGCCGCCGGCGAGGGGGGGGTGGAGTTCGAACCGGTAGTGACCCCCCCAGGTTTTCGGGGGAGGGTGGGGACGGGTTGGGAACCCCCAGTGACCCCCCCCAGTTTTCCGCCAGCAGCGGTAGAACACGCTCTTTCATACGTACGTACATACGTACATACGTACATACGTACATACGTACATACGTACATACGTACATGCGTACATACATACATACATACCTACCTACCTACCTACCTACCTACCTACATACATACATACATACATACATGCATGCATGCATGCATGCATGCATGCATGCATACAGACAGGCATGCATGCATGCATGCATGCATACCTATCTACCTACCTACCTACATACATACCTACATACCTACATACCTACATACCTACATACCTACATACCTACATACCTACAGACCTACGTACCTACATACATACATATATGTACATATATACATACATACATACATACATACATACATACATACATACATACGTACATACATACATGCATGCATACATACATACATACATACATACATACATACACACATACATACATACATACATACATACATACATACATAAGTGCATACATGCATTCATGTATACGTACATGCATGAATGCATATATACCTCAATACATGCATGCATGCATGCATGCATACATGTATGCATGCATACGTGAATGCATATATACATACGTGCATGCATACAGACATATATGCACACCTACATACATACATGCATGCGTACATACATGCATACATACATGCATACATGCATACAAACATACATACATGCATACCTGCATGCCTGCAGACATGCATATATGCATGCATGCATGCATACATGCATGCATACATGCATGCATGCATGTATGCATACATGCATACATACCTACATGCATACATACATACATGCAGACTTAGTTACATGCGTACATACATGCGCACGCGTACATACATGCATGCATACACACATACATACATACGTGCATGCATACATGCATGCATGCATGCATACATACATACATGCATACATATGTACATGCATGCATGCATACATACACGCACATACATACTCACATACAGACAGACAGGCAGGCAGACATCCATGCATGCATGCATGTATGAATACATACATACCTACATACATATATACATCTATACATACATACATACGTACATACGTACGTACGTACATACGTACATACATATATACATACATACATAAATACATACATACATACATACATACATACATACATACATACATCACTAAACTCGTCACCAGCACCTGCATCGGCGAAAAGGTACCACTCCTCCCTTACAGGGCAGATGGTCGTGCCCTGACCCCGCCCTGATGTATACCTTCACTTGACTTCAACCAGGGTCCTGGGGGTAAGCTTGACCAGGTCAAGCCAATGACCATCACTTCCTCCACTGAACCACCTGCGCGAAATCGCCACGATCACCGCTATGGGTACCTCTGGGTGGACCTCGGGTAGACCGCAGACGCACAGCGAATGGACGGTGGGAAGCAACACACCAAAATACTGAATGTGCAGAACCAGCCTAGAATGCAGAGGACCCATAGCCCCTTGATCGAAAAGGGGTTACGTCGTGGGAGCGAGCGGTGCTGGCAAGCTCTTCCATTACCCATAACTCCCAAAGCGTTCCTCGCTTGTTGTATCATCGTGATCGGAGCCGTGCTGGTCCTCCTCCTCCTCCTCCTCGTCTACCTCCTACTCCTCCTCCTCCACCTCCTCACCCCCCTCCTTTCCTCACTGCCATCCTCCCTCTCTGCTGTGATGCTCGAAACGCTCCTCCTTCACCCCACCCCTCTCCCTCCGCTCCTCCCCTGGAAGGGCGAAAAGGGGCATCGAGGCGCAGGCTTTGGTGATCCCCAGGCCCCGGGATGCCGTTGACCCGCTCCATGACCACATAATACTTCGACGTGGTCTCGAAGACCTCGAGGTGAGCGCAGATGGTTCAGGACGGTGAGGAGGAGTGGGAAGAGGAAAAAAGAGGACAAAGGAGAGAGGAGGGAGGGAGGAGGAGGGAGTAGGAGGAGGGGGAGGAGGAAGAGGGAGGGAGGGAGGGGAAGAATGAGAAGGCGGACTTGAAAGGCCAGTGATGGCTCACATGCGATTGAACAGATCTATCTCGACATCCTTAGAAAACGAATGGCTTGCAAGGATATCGACACGCGCGCTCGCATGTGGCCAGCAAGGCCTTCTTTGACCAAATGGCCAAATAAACTTGTCAGGTGAGGGATGAGGAGGCCGCCTTGGTAAGCCACTAGTTGCTTACATGCGTTTGAAAACATCGACCCTGAAATGCTCAGAAAACTAGAACTAACGGATGGCTTGCAAGGACTTCGACGTGCGCGCTCGCGTGTGGCCAGCATGGCCCTGCTTGACCGAATGGCTGGCCAGAACTGCTGCTGATGATTGTAGAAGGTGCGCGCGTAAACATCGTGAGTGTGCTGACTGGAACAAATGGTACTCCAGATTTCGTAATAAAGGGAGGGGGGTCTCATTTCGGGGGGGGGTCTCTTCCAGGCTATCTTGGAGGGCCTGGGGGGTCTGGGGACGATGTTTTGGAGGGTTCTCCCACGGGAGAGGTCTGAAATGGCTTGTCTTGGAGGGTCCAGACCCCCTCCCTTTTATTACGAAATCTGGAGTATTCACATGTTGTCAATATTTGTCTGCATCGAATCGGAAACTCGGATCGGATGGGAGTGCGCGTCGGATCGGGCCGCAGCGGCACGGAACCGGACTCGGCCAGGACCTGCCGCGCCCACATGCACAACCGCGCCCACGCAGGCACCGGGCCGCATCGCGTCGTCGGAACATCGGGATCGAAGCGGGTGGGGCCAGCTGGAATCGAGATCGAAGCGGACCGATCGGACCGAAGTGGGCCCTGTCCTTTTCAGGATCACGATCTTGAACCTACGTTCGAACGATGTGTCTAGGTGGTGTTGCCATGCACCCGCGGGGGCGCGCGCATGTCCCGCATATTACAATTTGACACAGCTTCATTGAAAATACCCTTGATATGTCAAGGCGATTGCCCGGCATAATTTTATCTGACAGGGATGAGGGGGAATATTGGGACTGATCGGAATGCTGTGAATCTTCATTTCGGAGAAGCGAACGTGAAGAAATGCTTGAAACCATACGCGCAGGGGCGGCCGTTAAATCGGGCCTCTTTATGAAAAAAAAAACATGTTGACAAAATGGAGAAGATGGGGGTACGTTTGAAATGCTAAATTGGTGGAGCGGAATGGTTGTCGGTGGCTCGGGGGGTCGCGGCGGCACGGCCAATGACGGCGTCGAAGCTGGTGGCGACGATGACGATGATGCTGTCCAAGTCTCGGTGTTGACAGCGCTTGAATACTGATGGCGGCAATGGCGGCGATTGGCGGTCACGATGACGTAATATGGCGGCGCTAATGCGGGTGATGGCGAGGAAGTGCGCGCGCGCGGAAATCCAAGAATCCTGGCAGGTTCTCGTTGACAATCAGGCCGTTTCGAAACCCAATCGTTTTGGGAGGATTTCGACACGCGCATGTGGCGGCGCGCGCGTGGTCCGCATGGAAATATTTGATACGGATCCGTGCCCTGCGCGCATGCTGGATCAACGCAGATGCACCGCGCGATGAGATGAGAATGCGGGTTCCGGGCGAGGCTGCTAAAATAATACGGTCGACTTCAGCGAATGCACGCGCAAAAAAAAACTCCAAGACTTGTGATGGAAAGCCTAACATTGCTTTATGATTGCATGCCGAAATCCTTGCAAACCACTTGTGGATTGTAGCCGCAGCACACGAACATAAAACCGATAAACCGATAAACCGATCAACCGATAAACTATTTCGGTTGATCGGTTTATCGGCAGTTCGACCGATAAACCGATATGATTACATCGGTTTATCGGTCGATCTGCCGATAAACCGATCAACCACTAAACCGACTCATCGCATGCGTGCCCGAATCTCAGCACAGCTTGGCTTTATCAGTTTATCGGTTTACCGGTATATCGGATATTTCAGTTTATCGGTTGATCGGTTGATCGGTTTATCGGCCGGGCGTTGTCGCGGTTGTCCAATGGGTAATCCTTCGAAATTATCTCTCCTCTTCCTCCTAGTCCGCCCCTTCCTCTTCCTCCTAGTCCCCCTCCGCCTCCGCCTCCTCCTCCCCCTCCTCCTCCTCCCTCTTCCTCCTCCCCCCTCCTCCGTTCCGATCCTCCCTCCCCCCCTCCCTCTCCACACTCCCTCCCTCACTGGCCCCGACGCCCATGGTTCTCCTAGTCCTCCCTCCCCCTTTTCCTCCTAGTCTCCTCCGCCTCCCCTTCCTCTTCCTCCTAGTCCTCCTCCGCCTCCGCCTCCTCCTCCTCCTCCTCCTCCCTCCTCCTCCCCCTCCTCCTCCTCCTCCCTCCTCCGTTCCGATCCTCCCTCCCTCCCTGTCCTCCCTCCCTCCCTCACTGGCCCCGACTCCCATGGTTCTGCGCGCACAGGGCCGCGGCCCCCGTGAGCCCCTTCTCGGCGTTCCAGCTGACCACCATTCCTGGGGAGTTCGTCCTCCCTCCCTCTTCCCCTCCTGCCCACACTCTCACATCCGTCCCCCATTCCCCTCGCTTGTTCCCCTCCCTTCCCTCTTTCGGATTGGGGAATTTCGAATTTCCTGTCTCCTCCTCTCCCAGGCCCAGTGCCCAGGCCCATCCAGTGCGTCTTGGCATTTTGAGGCGCGCTCGAATGCCTTGTGCTGTCTGGATGGGTTTATGTGATCTTCCAAGAACCTCCCCCTCTCTATCAGCGCCCCGGCGCGTGCACGGCCCCCCTTTCTCCGAGGCTCTGTCCCCATGACGACCCCGGGGGCCCCCCAGGGAACCTCAATGCTCGATCAGGAAAACAGCATGGACGCTCCGAAGATTTCAGCCATTACAACTTATTCGGGTTTCCCGCGGCTCAATACGCGCCAAGAGGGCTCCAACATGGCACTGCGACGGTTGAACATGGCAGCGAACATGTTGAACATTCAAAGAAGGCTTTGGGACAGCCCGAGTAAATCCCACCAGCCCTTTAGGGCGTGAGTGGTCTAACGAGCTCGTTCTGCTAAACCCCCTCCTTCCCCTTCGGGGAGGGGCCCCCCCTCCCCCTACCCCCTACCCCTGGACCTGGAGGGAGGGTTTCGCGAGGAATTGGAGCGCCCAAGATGGCCCAAGATGGCTGCAAGAGGGCCTCCCAGAGCCCCAGATGGTCTCCAATATCTTGCAAGATAGCCCAAGATGGTTCAAGATAGCTTTCAACATGCATCCAAGAGCTCTCGAGACCGCCCCAGGACGGCTCCAAGTGCCTTTCGAGCCCTCCAAGGAACCCATCAAGAGGCCAAAATCTTTGAAATCCCTTGTGTTTTTCACTGGTTGTTTGCATCATCGCCTTTTCGCGTTCGATGGGCTCTTGAGGCCTCAAGATGGCTCCAAGATGGCCCAAGAGGGCCCCAAGAGGGGCCCAGGAAGGCCCAAATACCGCCCCAAGAGCGCCCAAGACCGCCCCAAGAGCGGCCCAAGAGGGCCCCAAGAGGCTCATTTTCGGGTCCCGACGGGGGGGGGGTGACTTAAGGACCCCCCTCCTTCTTTGATCGATTGCCCCAAGAAGGCCTTCAACGCATCAAATATGCCCTCAAGAGGGCCCCAAGAGCGTCCAAAGGGGGCCCCAAGAGAGCACCAGGAAGGCCCAAGAGGCCTCCAGGATAGCCCAAAGAGGGCACCCAAGGCTTCCAAGAGGGCCCCAAGAGCGCCCCAAGAGCCCAAGAGGGACCCCCAGAGCGCATCATGAGGGCTCCAGAGGCTTGCAACATGGGCCTCAGAGTGCCCCGCGATGGCCCCAAGAGGCTTCCAATACGCGACGCTCTCAAAGCGAAGGATGTTGGTGGTTGACTCTCGTCGTCGTCGTCGTCGTCGTCGTCGTCGTCGTCGTCGTCGTCGTCGTGGTCGTGGTCGTCGTCGTATTGCTCGTCATCGTCTTCGTGTCTTTCTTCGCCACTTATATATTTTTCATACGCATGCTACTTGTCATCCTCCTCCTCCGGCTCCCCCTCCTCCTCATCCTCCTCCCCCTCCTGCTCATCATTGCCCGCCTTCCTCCCTTTTGTTCCTTCCACCCTCCTTTTCCGCATGCCCCCTCTTCTCTCAACTCCGATTGCTCCACCTCAACAGCGGATGTGGATCACTGCTGGGCCAGATGATGCTACGCATCCCTGATCGGGTCAACTCGCCTGGCGACGGTTTTTGGATGGGTTGGTGGGGATACGCGAAGCGAGAACAATTTTGGAGAGAGTGCATCACGGGCACAAGAGGGCCTCAAGCTGGCCGTCAAGGACCTCCGAGAGCCTAAGATGGTTTTCACAGGGCACGTGGACGGCCGAAGGCGGCTTCTTCACGTCTCCCAACGAGGCCCCCAAAGACGGCAAACACGGCCCCAAGACGCCTTATAATCCTCCGACTTTTCAGCATCATCCTCACCACCGCCCACATCACCACCACCACCGCCATCATCACCGTCTTACTAAGCATAATCATCATCTTCATCAACACCATCATCTCCCCACTCATCATCATCATCATCATCATCATCATCATCGGCATCATCATCATCATCCTCACCATCATCATCATCGTGATCATCGTCATCACCATCGCCATCCTGATTATAATCCGCATCGCGATGTCGATCCCGCGCGCCCAATCACGCTCCCCACCGGCCCCCCCTCCTGCCTCTCTCATAGACAACGGCTCGAGAAGCTGCCATCGACGATGCTGGGTTGGCACGGCGGCGGGGCTCGCCGCAGGCAGCTGGATCTAGCACAGTGCTGCGAAAACCCAACGAGGATGTTATCCGCCATCGCGCCCTTATGACGCGACGTGAGGTGTCGCCAGGTCCCTGGCTCAACATCGTGGACGTCAGT